GGTGCCAGGGGACCTCCTGCCTGACCATGCGCTCTCTGTTTCTCTCTTTGATTTGGCAGCGGAGAATCCGGTGCAGGGAAGACTGTGAACACAAAGCGTGTCATCCAGTACTTTGCAACAATTGCAGCCAGCGGGGACAAGAAGAAGGAAGAGCAGCAGCCGTCTGGCAAAATGCAGGTAAATTAAGAGATGCTGGCTTGAATCAATGCTTTTCTCTGTTCTTGACATGATTATTGGAAAGGAAAACCAGCAATAATTATCATCCTGCAGGGAACGCTTGAGGATCAAATCATCAGCGCCAACCCACTGCTGGAGGCCTTTGGAAATGCCAAGACCGTGAGGAATGACAACTCCTCACGCTTTGTAAGTTTTGATCAGAGAAGTTGACATTCATGGGCGAATAAGGATGTCAGAACAGAAACTGTCACTTTGGAAGTGTCATGGTCGGGTGATTGTATTAATTGAATTAATATTTTCCTCATATTTCTGTCAACTAAAACCTATCTAACTAGACTATCTAATAACAATGCAACTTTAAAAGTGTAGTACAGCACACAAGTATTTACAAAGGGGGGCATTCAAATATTTATAAATATCTATGTTATTTAATATTCATGAATATATATACACACACAGACTCCTGGTATACGTCATACAGACGGTAGATGCAATTTTTTGTAAACTGATACAACACAGAAGGAAGGGACGTAGGGAGAGAGGGAGGAAAACAGACAGACAGGATGTAAATTGCCTCATCAGATCAACAAAAAAATGAATCTCTTGCTTTTTAGACACAGAACTGGGCAGGTCTATTAATCTGACTTCAGACCTTGACACAAGATGTCTGGGAAGGGATAGGGACAAAGTTGTCTTCAGGACTTCCTATCAGAAACCAAACTATGACATGTCCTTTTGATAATTTTAATGCAAAAAACCAATTTGTAACTTTTATTAGATAAGCTGTGAATGTCCTTGAGAAATCAGAATATCAATCCACAGTCTCATCCTGAAGTTCTGTGTTCTGGGTGCATTGCTCTTATCCCCACAACTCAGAAAATAACAGCTGCCTTCTGTTTTTCCTCAAAATCAAACAAACTCATGTAACATTTACACCGCCAAAATCCACCTCCACAACACCCTATCTGATTACAAAAAGAAGCAGCTGCATCTTGGCATTCTCTATATCCATCATTTTGAACTGAGGCATAAATGACCTAATAAAAGGCTTACTTAGTGATTTCTTGTTCCTGTACATTCAGGGTTATCCGCAAAATAATAATAACATGGTTCAGATCTTTACCTTAGTATTGCCAGTACAGAGAGTTTCCCGACTTTTCTTTTTTGTTCTGTTTTGCTTTTCTTAAGAAAAATAAGGAAAGAAAAATCAAAACAACTTCTAAGTTTAAATCCTGTCCTCTACGGAGAATGTAAGGTTCCGTGCTTACAGTCTTAATTAAATATCAAAATGCATTTTTTCTTTGCCTTCTAAAGGGCAAATTCATTCGAATCCACTTTGGGGCCACAGGCAAACTGGCTTCTGCTGACATTGAAACTTGTAAGCAACCTCCTGACCTGATCACACTCCTTCCTCTCTTTCCACTTCAGTGTACTTGCTCAGGCCTAACTCTGTCCTACTGTCCTTGCCAGATCTGCTGGAGAAGTCCAGGGTCACTTTCCAGCTCAAGGCAGAAAGAAGCTACCACATATTCTATCAGATCATGTCCAACAAGAAGCCAGAGCTAATCGGTAGGAAGTATTATCAATTGTTTGATGGAATCTGAACACGTTTAACATTTATGTTCATTCTTATGCCCAGATACATCCTATTCCTCTTTACAGACATGCTCCTCATTACCACCAACCCATACGACTACCAATTTGTCAGTCAAGGTGAGATCACGGTTCCCAGCATTAACGACCAGGAAGAGCTGATGGCCACGGACGTAAGTAACACACAGAAGTTTTCTTAGGCGGACTCTGACCTTTACCAGGCATGGTCCTTACTCTAATGATCCTTTTGTTAGAGTGCCATTGACATCCTGGGCTTCACTGCTGATGAGAAGACAGCCATCTACAAGCTGACGGGGGCTGTCATGCACTACGGCAACCTGAAGTTCAAGCAGAAGCAGCGTGAGGAGCAGGCAGAGCCAGACGGCACAGAAGGTATTAACAAAATCCAAAACTCCAAGTAACAGAAACGGTTACGTAGCTGGCAGTTGGCAATCAGGTACCTTGCTCCAATTTACTTTCATATAGACATACATCTCAGCTTCCATGGTATTCATGCTCCTAAATTTCCCTTCAAGCTATCACAAGATTGCAGTGCTGAAACTTACAGCTACATCTTAGAGGACATCCACTTTCAATGATGACTTCTGCTCTGTCACTGTCTCTCTCTTGCTTTGTGTCTAGTGGCTGACAAGGCTGCCTACCTGATGGGTCTGAACTCAGCTGACCTGCTCAAGGCCCTCTGCTACCCCCGAGTCAAAGTTGGGAATGAATATGTGACCAAGGGTCAAACCGTGCAGCAGGTAACAACCAGGCAGTGACTGGGAACCTCTGTCTTGATCTAGTCTCTTGCTCTAGGTACTATTTTCCTTCTGCTGCATTCGTCTTTATTTTAGGTGAACAATTCAGTGGGTGCCCTGGCAAAGGCTGTCTATGAGAAGATGTTCTTGTGGATGGTTGTTCGCATCAACCAACAGCTGGATACCAAGCAGCCCAGACAGTACTTCATTGGTGTCCTGGACATTGCTGGCTTTGAGATCTTTGATGTAAGGGTTCCAGGTTTGAGGACTGGTCTTGCAGGGTGAGATTGGTATATCAGAAGACTTCCAAGTAGGTTTAAGGTTTAGGATGCTAGTCAATTGCAATTTTCTTGAAAAAAAAAATCCTTCATTTAATCTTGAAGCACAGAGAAAAATCTCCAGAAGCTTATCAGTACATGTTGCTTTTGTAGAAGTAGCAAACATAATTTTGATGTTTTAATAATTTAACAGTTTAAGTTTAGTATCATTTATTAAAAACACCCAACATAATTACAATTATTTTATATAAGAACTTCTAGAGCAGAACTAGGATTTGGAGCTCCATTGATAAGCATATAACAGGATAAAGATGTATAAATTGTTTAAAGGACAAAAGAATGAACACATGAGTGTTTAATAGGAGATATCAAGTGTTTAAAAATTGGAGGCCAGGGCACACATTCATCTTTTTGGCTGAAGAAAAA